CCTCTCCTTTTCCATCTCTTGAGTATTTTTTAATCAAAAAATAAAAGTATGGAGAGAGAGAGAGAGAGAGAGAGAGAGAGAGAGAGAGAGAGAGAGTGAAGATATGTGAAAAACCCGGCTCACACAACTTTTGCTCTCCCTCTCTCCTTATTTGGCCTTGTTGTTTTTTTGTCTCCTTGACGTCTGACACTACTCTCCCTATTTTTTTCTTTTTTGTTCATCTGTGCTGAGCTCTCTAATATATTCATTGAAGCTCTTTTGAGACAAAAGTAGTGGGGGCGAACATGAAAACTTTTTTTTTTTTGAATTTTCGATTTTATGTTCTTGTTTCCTTTTTTTGTGTGAGTCTTGGTCTTGCCGTGGGAGGCAAAAGTTTTGGAAATCTGGAATTTTTAGTTTTTCAAAATTTCAGAATTTTGAAAAACGTCGACTTTGGATAAGATAATGATTTAAAGTAATTTAGATCCCGAAGATCGGACAATTTGAATTTTTTCTGAAATTTCGAAAAAAAATCTGAAAATTTAAGAAGTTTTGAAGATATGGAATTTTTGGGATTTTTGGAATTTACGGAAAATTTTCGAACTTTTGGGATTTCAGATTTTTGAAGTTTTCTTGCGCTTTTGGGATTTTGAGAATTTCCGAATATCAGAATATGGGATTTTGAGATTTTCGAAATATCATGTATTCTAAAATTCTGTAATTCTAAAATATTCTAAAATTCTAAAATTCTAAAATTCTGTAATTCTAAAATTCTAAAATTCAAAAATTCGATAATTCTAAAGTTCTAAAATTCTGTAATTCTAAAATTCTGTAATTCTAAAATTCTAAAATTCTAAAATTCTAAAATTCTAAAATTCTAAAATTCTAAAATTCTGAAATTCTAAAATTCTAAAATTCTAAAATTCTAAAATTCTAAAATTCTAAAATTCTGTAATTCTAAAATTCTAAAATTCGATAATTCTAAAGTTCTAAAATTCTGTAATTCTAAAATTCTAAAATTCTAAAATTCTAAAATTCTAAAATTCTAAAATTCTAAAATTCTAAAATTCTAAAATTCTAAAATTCTAAAATTCTAAAACTCTAAAATTCTAAAATTCTAAAACTCTAAAATTCTAAAATTCTAAAATTCTAAAATGCTAAAATTCTAAAAATTCGAAAATAAGTTCAAAAGTCAAAACTTGTCAGTCATTTCAAAAAAAAAATAAATGTATCTTCCTCTTCCTCTCTCACAAAAATATGACGAATTGTGAAAAACTTCAAAAACTGATCGCTATTTTGAAAAATGTACAAATCTACTGGCTCAAAAGAAGAAAAAGTGGCTTTTCTCTTCTGCGGAAAGGAGGAAAAATTCTAATCCCTTCTTCCTTCCTTCCCCCAATGGAATTTCATTGACCCAATTCTTTTTTTTCTGGCCTCCGGCCGGAGCCCTTAGTTCCATTTTCTTCCCTTTTTTGGTCCATTTTTCTACTAAATTTCTATCTTTTTTCTTTTATTTTTTGTGTATCTTTTTCCCCCGACGGCCTCATAAACTACTCTTCTTCTTCTTTAGTTTGAGTACTATTTTAGAAGAGCACTCTTTTTGGTGCCACGTGGCAATGAATAATTGGTCCCAAGAGGACCCGATTTGGGTTTTCTAATTCATATTTCTGTAGTTTGTAGTCTAGCAGACTAAAAAGACTATTTTATGCTTGAAAGGACATGTCGAATTTTTGAAGTTTTGGAACTTTTACAATTTTTCTGATTTTTGGAATTTTTGGAATTTGGGTCTCCTGCAAATCCTTTATTTGTAGTTTGTAGTCTAGCAGGCTCACAAGTTAGGAAGGTTTGGGTTCGCTGATCCTTATTTTATAGCTTGTAGTCTAATTACACATTAGCAACCCACCAGATTTTTCGGAACCCTGAATTTTTGGAATTCTCGGAATTTTTTGGAACCTTTTGAAATTGTGTGCTAGTTCATGTTTTCGTAGTTTGTAGTCTAGCAGACCAAAGGACTAATCTATCTTTACAGGCTTTTCGGAATCTCGGTTTTTTTGGAATGTTTTGAATTTTGAAATTTTTTTTGTTGGAGTTTTTGGAAAGTTTTCGATTTTTGGGAGTTTTTAGAATTTTAGATCTTGGGTCTGCTAACTCTTATTTTGCAGTTTGTAGTCTAGCAAACAGTGCAAAGGATTAACCTAATTATACAGGTTTTTCAGAGTTTTCAAATTTTTGAGTTTTTTCAGAATTTTCGAAGTTTTTGGAATTTTTTGGAATCTCGGAATCTTCCGAATTTGCGGAATTTTTGGGTTATTTTGGAATTTTCTGAATTTGGATTTGCTAATTCCAATTTTCGTAGTTTGTGGTCTAGCAGACCAACACTAACGTCAAGCGATTTGGGTCCGCTAATTCATCCATTGTAGTTTGTAGTCTAGCAGACCGAAAATGTTTGATATTTTTTCCCTTTTTTTTTCTTCTAGACTTGTTGCAAACTTTTTTTTTCTACCTATATTCACATTTTCTGGGTAACCTGATATTCTTTTTTGCTAGTATTACGTAGTATACTATTTTTAAACCTAATTTTTCAGATTTTTCTTTAAAAATGAGGGAAAAGTTAGAATTTTGGTCTGCTAGACTACAAACTCAGAAACACTAGCAGACCGACCAAAATCGTGCGCATTAGAACCGTCAACTTTGAACCGATA